AGTTAGATATAGGGTTTTATACAATATATATAAAAGATCCGAATAAGAGATGAGTTGATATGCAAGCTATAACTAGAGTAAAAATTGAGATATTTTATAAAACTTGGTACACAAGACGGTAAAGACGGTTGGTATTGCAGATGGGCGTATTCGGACCACTGCCAAGCCCACAAAACGCCTTTAATCAAAAACCAATAAATTGCCATAACTAAGCTCCACAATAAGACATAAAATTGTTATTTGGTATACAGGATCAAATTTGGGAGGGGCATCTGCAATAACATGTTTTTTTTAAGTGGGCGTGGTCCTGCGCCACAATCGGTTTAATGTGCATATCTCCTAAACCGCTAAAGCTATAATAACAAAATTTTGTGTGAACAAATGTTTAAGCTTCTCTATCGACAATGAAATCTGGTGACAACTTCGCCCACTCCCCATATAACGGTAGTGTGAAGAACTACTAAAAGCGCGATAAATCAAGCACTAAACAAGCCAGAGACATTAAATTATAACTCTGAGATGGTATGAGATGACTTTATAGGAACCGCGTTCAAAATTAGACAGTGGACGTGGCACCGCCTACTTTTAGGTAAAAACCCATATCTTGGCATCTGCTTAGCCGATTTCAACAAAATTCGGTTATTAACATACATATTTCTATGTTATAGTATGAAAATGGGCCAAATGGGCCATGTTAAATTCCATCTGATTTTTTCACTTTCCAGTATGCAAATCAAGCATCAATGATTATATCGGCGTAAAAATTTGCGTGAATAACACGTTTAAGGTATGCCACCTTGTGACCAAAAATTGTCTAAACCGAACCAAAATTATTCAAGCCCCCAGAAACTGAGTATGTGGACCATAGTGCTTATAGTTGACTTTTTACCGAAAATAACGGTCAACATTAGAACAAGGCGGCAAGATCCAGAAAGAAATCTAAAACGAATACCATTTGATTTTGCGAGAGTATTAAATGTTCGGTTACATCCGAGCTTAGCCCTTCCTTACTTGTTTTAAACTAAAATTTGAAAATATACTTTACTAATATAAAAAAACTACGCCTAATTGTAGGCAATACTTTTTATTAGTATTACTGTTTAAGTCCCTTCAGGGGTAACTTTTATTTAAGATGAGATTTAATGATATCTGCTTAAAATATCTTTGTACCACAATTTCGTTCAATAATTCCAAAGATTTGTATATCTTGTATAAAAACTTTTTTTTATTTGTGAAGGGTATTTTAGCTTCGGTACAACCGAAGTTATCGTTTTTTCTTTTTATTTAATAGAACTTGACACCATATTATAAAGCTAAAGCTTAAACCGTTAGATATGCTCATCACTTTTTGTTGGTACAGGTAACTACAATATGGTAAAACGGAGTTTTGGGGAACATTTATTTTTGGTTTGCTTTATTTAATTGTTTGTGGTAACAAAATTGCTGAACAATATAATTTAAACAAGACATATATATATACTTATATATATAACATATCTTTGTACGTATGGTACTTAAGAGAATGCGAATTGTAATGGATTTCTGCCAGAGATATTTTGAGCTTTGCCACATTTTTTAACAAATTTTTAAATAAATAAATTCATTGAGATGTGTTTTGATGCTGGTATTTGTAGTGTTTTATTTGTATTATACAATATTTACATTTCTTTCGGAAAGCTTATAGTTTTAATGATTCCATAAGTTGTTGGACCGCCTTTTTTCATGTAGCTGGGCAGCCTGTTTGGTCGGTCAAAATCAAAGGTCTCAAAGATATGCTTTGTGAAGTAAGTATATTCTCAGCTTCTTTTATAATATCCTCTGATGGTTCGGCCTCGCGCGTTAGGATCCACACAACAACTGAAAAATTCAGATATTTGTTTTCGAAAAATTAATTTTTTTTGTTGTAATTTTAGTAATTTTTAATCAGTTTTCGAGAGCGTATAGATGTAGGTATATTATAATTTTCATAATTTTATAGTTACATAAAACAACAACAATTCATGGATTATCAATGCATCACACGTGACTGTGTTGAAGCCGATGCTTTGCAGAGACAACCCATTGAGATGCACTTACAGCTACAAAGTGTGCGGGAATTTTCAACAAATTCTAAGAACATGTTAATAAATATTACTTTTATAACATAAAATTTAGCTGTATTTATGTCCCGCGTCTGAAAATAACCGCAGTTCTGTTTAGAATTTTTATGTTACGTCAAATTCTGCGTAATAAATAATTAAAAATAAAATATCAAAAATGGCACATGCAATGCAGTTAACTATAGGTAAGCGTAAAAAATGTATAGTTGTTTAATTATTCTGTTAGTATGCCGCAATAGCAAACAGCGAGTGAACTCCAAAATTTTTTTTGTTTTAGTTTTATTATATAATTTAACTGAACCTAATTTTTAGCATTATAACCTATAAGTTAAAGATTTCTAATATATTGTTCGCTAATAAAAAATTGTTGTTAATCATCTTTACTTACCCGAATGTGCGACTAATAAATTGCTGCAGCTGTAGACGACAGCATAATTCTTATAATCGGTACCTAACACCCAGTAGTCAGCGTCTCCAGCAAGAGCTGCAAAGATAAACAAACAGTACATTTAAATTATCATACACTGAAATTTTAAAAATTTTAAAAATGTAACAAATTTCACGACTTTTACAAAATTCAAAAGTGTTGCGCATTTTTGAAAAATTTTAGATATATCAAAAATTTTAAAAATTTTAAGTTATAAAAACTTAACAAATTTTAAAAATTCTCACAAATTTCAAAAATTTTGAAAATTTAAAAAGTCTCAAAAATTTTTAAACAGTTTTAAAATTTTAAAAAAATTTTAAATATTAAAACTCTCAAAAATTTTCAATTTACAAATAAAATACTTACAGAATTGATATTTGGGTGTTCTGCACTGTAACGCTATCGTTAGTTAAAGCACCATATTCCGCCTGTATACACCTACCGCCAGCCTCAAAAATGAAAGGATACTTGGAGTACTCATACCATCTTCCCAAATACTGTAAAGATTGTTGTAAAATTTTAAGTCTTTAATAACAAATTTTATTATTGAATTTATAGAAAAATTCTGTTAAATATACAGAAATCACATTTAAAAATCGCTACTATTGGTTAAAGGATTTTGTTTTATTTTTATTTTATTTATATTATATATTTATTAACCAATACCTCAAAGTACTTATGACACTTTTTTTTTATTTTTTGTTGTTTTGTTAAATTCTTAAAAAATATGAACTCTTTTATAACTTCAGAATTAAAAGTTGTTGGTTTGAAATCAATGCTGTTTTATTTTCACTACGAAACTTTCAAGTTGGCAACTGTAGGATATAAAAAACCACACTTGAAATACTACTACTTTCTTAAAACTGACTAAAATGATAATTTTAAAATAACTACGCTCTACTTTCTATACGTTTATGGAAAAATTTTGTTAAATTTTAAAATATTTTTCACTTGTTACTTGAGGCTGCCAACCCTACTATAATATAATATATATGCAAATATAAAAAATAAAATGTTCCAAAATAAGCCACTATTATCAACGTGATTTATAAATAAAGAAACCAAAAGTGTTTTCAACCGCGGCGACCGTTGTTTGCATACATACATATATATTTATATACAAATTCGTTAAGCACTTACCGCTTCTGCATCGAAATCTTGGACAGTTTGGATGTCGGATGGACACAAGCCTCCCCTAACGACCTGACTTACCACCATTTTGGCCGAAACCAAAACAATCAGTGACAAATAAACACTGTAAAACACACAAAAACAACAATAAAATAAATTAATATACAATTAAAATATTAATTAAGTAATAATAGCAAAATCACGAAAATGAAAATGAAATTGGAACTCACCAAATCAGTTGTTGTTTTTGCATTTTGATGATAATACCGCTTTGCTTTAGCTTTTATTCTGAATAGCGAATTTTTAGTTTATAGTTAGCAATAACTTGGCTAAAGTGCGCTTCTGATATTAATGCCTTACAGCCGATTTTCTGCCGCTATTTATACAAACCCCGGTATGTCGCTCACTCAAAAAGCATTCTTCACGCATTGAAACGCCTTATCTCATACTAAGCGTAATGTCAATATTGACAAGGTAGTGCAAGCATAGAACACATTAGATAGTTATTTAATTTTTTTGTTTGTTTTTATTACTTGTTTACTGTTACTGTTAGTTATTGTCTTTATTTTTAAGTTCACGATTTAAGTTTATCAAATCAACGTTTCCGTAAAGTTTTGTTTGTTATTATTTTCTGCATTATGGCTTATCTAAAGGGCTAGTGTAGGAAAAGCTATGTAAATTAAAAATATATCTAAAAAAATTTCCATCAACTAAAATTAAAAAAGTGGTTTATTGAGCAAAATGTGGAGTAACTGGTGCGTAACTTGTTCAGAAGTACTTGAACAGTAAGCAAAACCTATCAAAGTTAGATACTAATATATTGTCATTTTGAAAAAAACTCGTCCGACTCAATCTTTTTATGAACTGAAATGGAAGTATACTCCGAAAGTATGATGTTAAAAGGTTTACGACAAATTTTCAGTTTTTTAAACAGATCAAGATATAACACGCACAATGAATTAAAAATGGTGGGAAAGCTTTTTGTGGAGGTCATATCTATAAAAGGTACAGGTTTACACACAACCGCAGTACAGAATTACAACTGAATAATTTTTTTCTTTACGGAAACCTTGATACATTGAAAGTACAACTTTCAAAGGCAATTAGCTGTCTCTTAAAGGATTAAAGGGACATATTGGCGCAAATACCTAATGCAACTACCATCTTGTATGATATATAGAAAAATTAATAAATAAATCCCCTGTTTGGAGACAGTTTCAAAAACGAACATATTTATCGAAAATTGTGCAGAACGGGGTGTATAAGTATTTAAAATTATCACCATGAAATATTTTGTACCTAACTCAAAAAGTAAAATTACATATTTACACAAATTTTTTTTCAGCTTTAGGAGTTCTAAAGCCATATCTTTAATAAGAAGTTTTGTAGTTAACATATACTCGTATATAAAAAAAAAACAAGAAAGAAATAAAAAATATCTTAAACGAAAATGTCCTAAAAGGCTCGCACTGTGCTTCGTTATCGGTTTGCCACTACGTATAAGTAACGTGAGTAAATATAGAAAAATAATTCACGGCAAAAAAGGGCATACAGGTTGGTTGTAAATTTTCTGCGCTCGAAATACAAAATACAATTTTTGGAATAATTTTATGCCATCCCTATAATGACTTTCCGGAAGCTCTGCAAAAAACCCGTCTAGAGCTGTAATAGCTTCTTTATTCGGTCAGGTCTTTTTTCTTCGAATTTTTCATCCAGCTAATCCAAAAGGCAAAAATATTGTTCAGAGTTGATACCATACACGGCTAGTCAAATTTGGGTTTTCACTAACAATATTATGAACTTGCTCAATGATTTCGGGTGTGCTTGCTTTCACAACAAAGGATCAAATCACTGCGCCATATTAAGAAAAATCTTTTGACATGTCAAATTCAAATGGCTTGTAAAAAAAATAAATAGTTGACAGAATGACTCTCACGACAGTTAGTAGTGATATTTCTTGGTGAGCGCAGACACTTTACAACCAACGTGTATATCATTAAATGAGTAAAACATATGTTGGTTTTTCACACAGTATTTTCACATATCATAATCAGCCAAATGTGTATTAATACAAAGAAAGTTAGTTAATAAATATTAAATTTTAATTTCTGCTGTGCAAATACTAAAACTGCAATGTATAAATTGCAAAATGAAATGAAAGTGCTTCGAAACAGTAGAAACGTCTAAGGAACTGTTTTTGTTTTTCTTACTATATTTACCTCACTTGGTAAACAGTGAAATGCAAATTGCTGTTTTAAAAAGTAACAGGTAAAATGAAATAAATACTCAAACTTCGTCAAAATAGGTTCTGTTTTTTTTCATTTTTTTTTGCTGCATATAAGCCTTTGCCATTTATGATTTGAACAAAATGTCGGCCAACTTTCCACCACGGCTCCGCTTGCATATCTTCACCCGTTTACGCCAATTATCGATGACCCACTGCAGCTTTCGGCTGGAATTTCCGCTATAGTGCGCTGAATGTTGTCGTTGCTGGTTGATTGGTGTAAGCCTTTAATTTAACATAACCCTAGAGAAAGTTATCTAGAAGCGTTAATCACATGACCTTCAACAAACTCTAGGAGTGGCCATGAGAGAAACTATTCACAGTATTCGTTGGTTCTAAAGTGGTTACGATAGTAGAAAGGGCCATTGTTAATATCCCTTTATGTTCATATCGAAGGTTTGATCAGCTTGGATATTAAATATGTAACCGACTAGAGCTAATAAAGAAGTTGTATGTAAATATCTTATCTGAAGGAAAACCTATGTTTTATCAGCCACATGCATTAAAGATGTTTTTTTATCAAGGTTTGTCTCTGTATTATAAAATATCCACTACGACTTTTATAAAAATCGTGCGTAGAATTGAGAAGATTTAAACCTTTATATGAGCTTATATAAACACAAAAATATTTTGTACTGATCTGGAAATCTAAAACATGAATTCTCATGAAATTTGCTGCCAGGTATTTACAATCACAGCTTTTATAAAGTCATAGGTTTCCACTGATTAATCAATTTCAAGACGACAGAAGTTCTGACTCTCGGCAAAAACTGGCGCACTCTAATAATGCCCACCACATACACACCAGTACACCACACCAGATGACACCACACAGGACAATACAACACAACACAACACCGCGCGTGTACATCACCAACTAACAAAAGGGATGGTCCGCGCAGCTTTTTCACCTCATTCGATAAAATAGCGATCCTGCGCGCATCTCACACATTCAATTAGAAAGCGATTCAGCGCTATTCCTTTTTGCTTTGATGCTCCTGCGCCACATCATTCGATACGACACCCCTCCGCACGCGTTTAACTAGAGCAGGCATCTTGTCGCGCGTTTTTGGATACACCGGCGATTGGACCGTCACGTCAAAGCAATCCCGCTAAGGTTTGTTATAAACTGGGTCGCCAACTATTCAAAAACATTTCATATTTTCAAGAGTCTTACTCAACGTGAAATTACTGACTTCTACTTCCTTAATTCAAAATTCTAAAGTGTAATAATATATGCATTTACTCTTCATGCGACCGAAGTGCCGTCTAAATTTCTTTATAGTATACCTTTTTTTGTTTTTTTTTTTTTGTAAAATACATATGAGAGATTTTCTTTACTTACAGACTAATCATAGACTAAAGATTTTTTTTCATATATTGATGAGCGAATAAGTTGGATGCTGATTAGGATCCTTCGTAATGTAAACAAAGAAGGTTGAAGGGATTCTTAAGTAAAGATTTGGAAAAACGTCTTTTTAACAAAATATTAAGATATGAGAATGCATTGAAATCATGCTTGGCACTTGATTTGACTTGACATAATAAAACAAAAGTGAAATAAATGAGTGTTGAATTGTAGGCACTTCTATCCAACCAAGCTTAATAACACGTGTCAACAATATAAGTGAAACTTGCTTGAAAAGCAGACAGCCAACAGCGTCTACAGACACTGTATGTTAGAATGGTAAACATGTATATATGTAAATAGTATATATTTAAAGCTCAAGCTCAAGCTCATTCACGGCAAAGCAAAAAACCACGACAATATATCCATAATGCGTTGCCAAATGCGCCTAAACAACTCTCATGCTAATTCAATGACATTAGCTGCGCTCTCTGCTGTTGTGTCCAAAAGTTCAAACTCGGCTGTAGTCGGATTAGCGGTGCTTGTGGCTGCGGCAGCAATCCTTTTCAAAATTACACTATCATCTATGGCATTGCCATCGGCTTTGTTAATTTTATTAGCATTGTTGTTTTTATTGTTGGTGTCATCGCCGAAACTGATGGTCGTGCCATAGCTGGAAGCCACATCGGGACAATTCTCCTGATCAGCGATCAGCAGGAATGATTGTGCCAAATTATTATCGTCCATGATTTTCTTCGCTGCACTGACAGCTTCAGCCGAGGGTTTGCGTTCGCGACTCATGATCCAAAGTAGTTCTGAAAGGTAGAAAAAAAATTAAAAAATTGGTGGTTGTAATTATAGAATATAAGAATGTGGTTTTCTTTTGATATCTAATTTTAGTTAGTTAAAAATTTTAATAATTCTCTGCTTCGAACGATCGCCGACGTTCAGTGATCGTACTTTGACAACACTTTGGGTATATGTACTAATAAATATTAGATATATATGTTGTTTCGTAAGAAGCAAGTGTTGTTAATTTCCGGAATGAAGGTATTGTGAGTTGAAACAGCGCTCCGAAAAATAGGAAGGTTAGTAAAAACAAAGAATCTACTTTATGAGATCTTCACGAATTGTTTAGAGTTAGATTTAATCCACCATTATATTTCACTAAATGATATAATTATGGACGCTGAAATCAGCTACAATTACTAATTCACCACTATATTCATGGAATATATAGCTATCGATGTCTGAAATCAGCTAAAATGTAGCACCCTGTTACTGGAGTACTAGAGTTTGAAAAATTTATGTCTCGCAAACTGATGTATAATATTGTTGTAATATCCAGAAGTGGAAAATATCCTAGACCCCAACCTAGAAACCAAAACTAATGATTTTCGATTATTTGGTAAATTTAAGAAGGTCTGGAGTAAGTGAATTGTAACATTCAGAATCAAATGTCGGAAACCCTTTAAGTATATATTATAAATAGTCAGGGTGATGAGCAGAGTCGATTTAGTGATGTCCATCTGTCCGTCCGTCTGACCCTTTTATATACGCGAACTAATCTCCAGCTTTTGAGTTATAGATCGGAAAATTTTACTCACATATTTTCTTCCCAAGAATCTGCTCCTTTGTCGGAACCGCCGATATAGGCTTAGCATAGCATAAGCCGCCATACAATTGCACGATCTGAACAATTCTTGTATGGAAACTTTTATATTTAATAAGGTATTCATAAAATTTAGCACAGATATTTTCCAAGCAATGCTAATATTGAATAATCGTTCGATCGTACTATAACACTATAGCTGCCATACAAACCGACGAACAAAATATATTTCTTGTATAGAAACTTTTTTATTTGTGAAAGCTATTTAGCTTTGGTTACGATCTTTATTTAATAGAACTTGACACCATATTATAAAGCTTAAGCTTAAACCGTTATATGCTCATCACTTTTTGTTGGTGCAGGTACCTACAATATGGTAAACGGTTTGCTTTATTTTTGTATTGTTGGTAACAAATTGCTGAATAATATAATTTAAACAAGACATATATATATATACATATAACATATCTTTGTACGTATGGTACTTAAGAGAATGCGAAAAAGTAACTAGAAACAACAGAGATATTTTAAGTTTGCCACATTTTTTAACAAATTTTTAAATAAATAAATTCATTGAGATGTGTTTTGATGCTGGTATTTGTAGTGTTTTATTTGTATTATACAACATTTACATTTCTTTCGGAAAGCTTATAGTTTTAATGATTCCATAAGTTGTTGCGGTCCTTTTTTCATATATCTGGGCAGCCAGTTTGATAGGTCAATTTCAAAGGTTTCAAAGATATTTTTTGGGAAGTAAGTATATTCTCAGCTTCCTTTACAATATCCTCCGATGGTTCGGCCTCGCGCGTTAGGATCCACACAACCACTGAAAAAATGCAGATATTTGTTTTCGAAAAATTAATTTTTTTTGTAATTTTAGTTATTTTTACGAAGAATTGATAATAGATTAATATTATATGTTGATTAAGCTAATCAGTTTTCGAAAGCCTATAGATGTAGGTTTATTATAATTTTCATAATTTTATAGTTACATAACACAACAAAAATTTATGAAATATCAATGCAACACACGTGACTGTGTTGAAGCTGATGCTTTACAGTGAAAACCTTTTGAGATGCACTTACAGCTACAAAGTGTGCGGGAATTTTCAAAAAATTCTAAAAACATGTTAATATTATTATATATTAGTTATATATATATATATATAAAACTATATATAGGTAAGCGTAAAAAATGTATAGTTGCTTAATTATTCTGTTAGTATGCCGCAATAGCGAACAGCGAGTGAACTCCAAAGAATTTTTTTTTTTAGTTTTAATATATAATTTAACTGAACCTAATTTTACCATTATAACCTATAATTTAAAGATTTCTAATATATTGTTCGCTAATAAAAAATTGTGTTTAATCATCTTTACTTACCCGAATGTGCGATTAATAAATTGCTGCAGCTGTAGACGACAGCATAATTCTTATAATCGGTACCTAACACCCAGTAGTCAGCGTCTCCAGCAAGAGCTGCAAAGATAAACAAACAGTACATTTAAATTATCATACACTGAAATTTCAAAAATGTAACAAATTTCAAGACTTTACAAAATTCAAAAACAAAGTTTATACTAATTGTTGAAATTTTACAAAATACTATTTGGCTACTTACAAGCAATACCATTGAAACGCACGGAAAGTTTGCCTGGTCCAACAATTCGGGCAACGCCGTCAATAGAAGATTTTAAATTGCTGTAATATTAAAAATATTAATTTATCGGTGTGAAATCATATGTTAATACGCCAAAAATACTTACAGAATTGATATTTGGGTGTTCTGCACTGTAACGCTATCGTTAGTTAAAGCACCATATTCCGCCTGTATACACCTACCGCCGGCCTCGAAAATGAAAGGATACTTGGAGAACTCATACCATTTTCCCAAATACTGAAAGATTGTTATAAAATTTTAAGTCTTTAATAACAAATTTTATTATTGATATATAGAAAAATTCTGTTAAATATGCAGAACACAATTTTAAAAATCGTTAATATTGGTTAAAGAAATTTTTTTTAAATTTTATTTATATATTTATTAACCAATATCTCAAAGTACTTATGTCACTTTTTCTTTTGAAATTTTTTTTTTTTTTGGTAAATTCTTGAAAAATATGAATTATTTTATAACTTCAGAATTAAAAATTGTTGGTTTGAAATCAATGCTGTTTTATTTTCACTACGAAACTTTCAAGTTTTGTTTTTATCAATATGTTGGCAACTGTAGGATATAAAGAACCACACTTGAAATACTACTACTTTCTTAAAACTGACTAAAATGATAATTTTAAAATAACTACGCTCTACTTTCTATACGTTTATTGAAAAAATTTTGTTAAATTTTAAAATATTTTTCACTTGTTATTTGAGGCTGGCAACCCTACTATTAAAAATATCAAATATCAGAAAAAAAATGTTCCAAAATAAGTCACTAATACAAAGGTAATTTATATATAAAGAAACTAAAAGTTTGTTCAACCGCGGCAACCCTTGTTTGCATACATACATATATACGTATATATGTAAAAATTCGTTAAGCACTTACCGCTTCTGCATCGAAATCTTGGACAGTTTGGATGTTGGATGGACACAAGCCTCCCTTAACGACCTGACTTACCGCCATTTTGGCCGAAACCAAAACAATCAGAGACAAATAAACACTGTAAAACACACGAAAATAACAATAAAATAAATTAATATATAAATAAATTATTAATTAAGTAATAATAACAAAACACGAAAATGAAAATAAAATTGGAACTCACCAAATCAGTTGTTGTTTTTGCATTTTGATGATAATACCGCTTTGCTTTAGCTTTTAGTCTGAATAGCGAATTTTTAGTTTATAGTTAGCAATAACTTGGCTAAAGTGCGCTTCTGATATTAGTGCCTTACAGCCGATTTTCTGCCGCTATTTATACGAACATTGAGGCGCTTTATCTCACACTAAGCGTAATGTCAATATTGACAAGCGAGTGCAAGAATAAAATAAGACATTAGATAGTTTTTTTTTGTTTGTTTTTGCTACTTGTTTACTGTTACTGTTAGTTATTGTCTTAATTTTTAATTCAAGATTTAAGCCCAACGTATCCGAAAAATTTTGGTTTTTGTTAGGTTTGGCTTATGGCTTATCTGAAGGGCTAGTGTAGAAAAAGATATGGTAATTAAAAATATATCTAAAAAATGTTCCATACATCGAAAATTAAAAACGTGGTTTATTGAGAAAAATGTGGAGTAACTGGTGCATAACTTGTTCAGAAGTACTTAAACAGTAAGCAAAACCTATGAAAGTTTGATGCTAATATATTGTCATTTTGAAAAAAACTCGTCCGACTCCATATTTTTATGAACTGAAATGGAAGTATACTCCGAAAGTATGATGTTTAAAGGTTTACGACAAAATTTAGTATTTTAAGCAGATCAAGATATAACACGCACAATGACTTAAAAAATGGTGGGAAAGCTTTTTGTGGAGTCATATCATATAAAGGTACAGGTTTACACACAACCGCAGTACAGAATTACAACTGAAGAATTTTTTCTTTACGGAAACCTTGATACATTGAAAGTACAACTTCAAAGGCAATTAGCTGTCTCTTAAAGATAAAGGACATATTGGCGCAAATACCTTATGCAACTATCATCTTGTATGATATATAGAAAATTAATAAATAAATCCCTGTTTGGAGAGTTTTATAACAGTTTAAAACGAACATATTTATCGAAAATTGTGCAAAAGGGTGTAGGTATAAATATAAATTATAGTACATAAATTAATATATCACCATGAATGATATAATATTTGTACTAACTTAAAAGTAAAATTAAATATTTAAACAAATTTTTTTCAGCTTTGGAGTTCTAAAGCCATATCTTTAATAAAAAGTTTTGTAGTTAACATATACTCGTATATAAAAAAACAAGCGCCCACTCCCCATATAACGGTAGTGTTAAGGACTACTAAAAGCATGATAAATCAAGCAATTAACACGAGAGACATTAAATTTTAACTCTGAGATGGTATGAGATGACTTTATAGAAACCGCGTTCAAAATTAGACAGTGGACGTGGCACCGCCTACTTTTAGGTAAAAACCCATATCTTAAGATCTGCTTAACCGATTTCAACAAAATTCGGTACATAACGTAATTTTCATATTTCTATATTATAGTGCAAAAATGGGCGAAATCGGACTACAACCACGCCTATTTCCCATATGACACCATTTCAAATTCCATCTGATTTTTTCACTTTCCAGTATGCAAATCAAGCATCAATGATTATATCGGCGTAAAACTTTGCGTGAATAACACGTTTAAGGTATGCCACCTTGTGACCAAAAATTGTCCAAACCGAACCAAAATTATTCAAGCCCCCAGGAACTGAGTATGTGGACCATAGTGCTTATAGTTGACTTTTTACCGACAATAACGGTCAACATTAGAACAAGGCGGCAAGATCCAGAAAGAAATCTAAAACGAATACCATTTGATTTTGCGAGAGTATTAAATGTTCGGTTACATCCGAACTTAGCCCTTCCTTACTTGTTTTAAACTAAAATTTGAAAATATACTTTACCAATATAAAAAAACTACGCCTAATTGTAGGCAATACTTTTTATTAGTATTACTGTTTAAGTCCCTAACTAAGATCTTGTATACTTTCAGGGGTAACTTTTATTTATCTTCATAGCACAATTTCGATCAATAATTCCAAAAATTTGTCTACATTTTCAAGAACATTCAAAATTTTTCGAAAAACAATTTTAAATTATTTATTAGTGACAAACATATTTGTACTTAACTCTACCAACTACAAACTGTATAATACTCGCATAAAAGTTTCACAATATAAGTGAAACTTGCTTGAAAAGCAGATACAAGCCAATCAGCGTCTATCAAAGCAGCTAGTATCCGTCAATAGAATGGTAAACATGATATTTAGGTGAAGATTTATAAGTATATATGTTGAGGGAAGATGCTTCTTCATAAGCTCTTAAGCTCACTTCGAGCGGCATAGCGAAAAACCACGACTTAATCATATTCCATTAGATGTGCGTTGCACAAAATGCGCTAAACAACTACTCATGCTAACTCTCAATGATCATTATATGTCTGCCGCTCTCGGCTCGTTGTGCTCAAAGAGTTCAACACTGCGGCATGCTTCACGTCGGTTAGCGAGTGCTTTGTGACTGCGGGTGGTAGGCAGCAATCCTTTTCTCATAAATTACACTCTCATCTATGGCATTGCCATCAGGCTTTGTTAATTTTATTAGCATTGTTGTTTTTATTAAGTTTGTGTCATTCTTCCGAAACTGCATGTCGTGCCATAAGCTATGGAAGCCAATCGAGGACATTCTCTTTGATTCATACGATCCCAGCAGAATGATATGTGCCAAAATTAGTTATCGTCCATGAATTCTTTCGCTCGCTAACTGACTAGCTTCAGAGCCGAGGGTTTGCTTGTTCGCGGGGATCAGTGAAATGCGCAAAGTAGTTCTGAAAGGTATTGAAAAAAAATAAAAAAATTGTTTTGTTTGTTGTAATTATAGAACTATCCTACCATAATTGGATGTTTCTTTTGAGTAGTGGCTGAATTAGTTTTATTAGAAAATTTTAATATGGTCTCTGGCTGTCGACATTCGATTCGCAAGACTGGTGTCAGATAATAATCGTACTTGACAACATATTCTGGGGTAGGTATTTTGTACTTCAATAAATTTTAGGATATATAAATGTTTTGTTTCTAAAAGCAGTGTCTGTAGATTGTGGAGTGATAACAGCGCTCCGAAAGAATAGAAGGGTTAGTAAAAACAAAGAGTGGCTACTTTGAGTGAGATCTTCGACGAAAAATATGGATTCTCTCTCGTGGT